GGGAAGGCTGTCACTGATGAATATAGGCTTTGGGTTAGCCTCGTCACCCATGTTAATTTGGACTATTTTATCTTCAGTGGGGGGTTCTCTCTGTTCGAACCTATCACCATACTGCATGTTCAGGTGATGAACCCACGGGTCTTCCCATGTTGGCATTTGATCATCGTTCTCTATTGTGGACGGATCAGCTGTAGCCATGTTCTCCATTAGGGCTTTGAATGCTTCCTCCAGACTTGTATCGGAATCCCATTCCGAGGAATCTGACGGGTACCCATCTTTGTATTGCTCAGATGATTGGTTATTGATTAACCAGCAACATTCGTCTTCTGAAGAAGATTCATACCCTAACCCTCGTCTGAATTTATAATAATCATCCGGTTTCCCTTTTGGTACATATGCCGCTTTGGCTGGAATACGATGACCTCGATCGAAGTATAGACCTTCTCCGAGAGTGAAATCATATCCTTGTTTTTCCATGAGCTTGCGCGCTTCCGGGCTATACTTAGATAAATGTCGACCGGGTTTGTCATCATTCTCATCTTCCCTTAAGAAATGATCTGGTAATGGAGAGCTTTTTCCTTTACCGTAAATCACTTCTTTTGCGCCTCTTATTTTGTTCGGGACGACCATGGTTGTTCCGAAAGAATGCTGGAGGCGTTCCTTTACTATATAGGACGATTGAAACGGCAGATATAAATCGGGATTATCATACAATTCTTTTATCACATCATCAAGAGACAGTGAGTACTCTAAATCGTTATTTATTTCATTATTGCAAGGTTGCCAGTTACAACTGCCATCTGACGATTGTTCATCGTTAAGGTTGATTACAAAGGGTACAATATCGTTTAAAACATAACCTCCATTGTAATCAAGTCCGGCTTCGGTATCAGCTTCTTCTCCGCTGTCCGTGCCATGGGCCGATGATTCAGTATCAGATTCGTTACCATAAAGGAGAGAATCAGTAAAATAATTCTCATACCCTTTGAATGGTTGCTTATCCGCGACCACCGTCCTAACCTTATTATCAGTGTCGACATATTTCAAACACTGATGGAGAGTGGAGGGGATTATAACGTTACTATGGATCCAAGGCCGACCCAATAGTAAGTTATATGAAATCTCGGCATCGATCACATAACATGTGACTTCTGTCTTCAAATCTCCCATTTGACATTTTACCCGGATCTTACCCAAGGGTCTTGACCCGCTAGTGTTGAATCCATAGATAACAGTGCCTGTGGACGCCAACTTACTAACTGGAATACCGAGGATATGCATCAAGCGAAGCGGCATAATGCTCACAGCAGAACCCGGATCCATTTGGATTCGGTTGACTTTGCTGGAGCCAATGTACCCAATGAAATATAGGGGTCGGTCATGGTTTGAATTCTTTGTCTGCATATCCTCTTTGGTGAAGGTAATGCAGGGAAGGTTTTTAGCCGCTATATTACAGTGTTGAATTAACGGTTCTGGCTCTTCAAGTGCCGGCTTGATCCGAGTAAGGAACACTTCTGAATTGGCCAAGGCTTCTTGCAAGGCTTCCCTGGTTTCTTTAGACAACCGCAGCAACTCATACAATGTTATCCGTGCTGGGATGTTAGCTAGTTGAGCCATAATATCGAAGACGTACGGAGTGTTCGAGCTTTCCGGTTTATCTTTTCCAATCGGACGATTGAAACGAGACTGCTTCGGATTCTGAACCTCCTAGGGCCTCTTTTCTTTCTGTTTACTAACCAGCTGTTGTCGAGCTTCTTCAACTGGTCTAGGAGTCGTGATCACACCCAGCTTCGTAAGAGTTTTGGCTGGTCCCCGTTTAGTCACCCCCTGCTCAGCTAACTGATCACTAGGTGATGGATAGTTGAAGTGATACTCATTTCCGCTTCTAGTGGCAAAGACCTCTTGTTCTTCTTCGGAGAGCGGGAAGGTAGGAGCTTCATTACCATCCTCTTCGAAGATCGCAGAGGTAGCATTGCAGGACTTGCCTTTACCCTTTTTGATCGAGAAAGTCGTCCACTGATCGTCTTCAATTAAGTCGGGATGAACTCAGAGGATTTCGCCGTTTGAGGCTGTGTGTGGCACAAGTCCTTTTTGACGCTGTCCATATGGGTCGTCATTCACTATCTTCATTCCAACTTTGGTGATGCGTTCTGGTTTAAACCATGCTGTGGGCACTGATCCAAAGCTGATTGATACTGCATTTGCTCTGACATTCTTGGACGGCTTCGGGGTTATGACGCCTACATCAATTAACGCCTGGATTTTATCCTTGAGATGGTAGCATGACTTTGTAGGGTGATGGACCGCTCTATGGTATGCGCAATACTTCGGATCCGTCACTTTGCTAGCCCCTTCTTAATCCACGATCGCCGGCAGCTGGATTTTGTTATTTTCCAACAGGTACTTAAAGATGCCGGGAACTTCGTCATCTTTGAAGGAGTACACTTTGGGAAATCTTGGCTCTGAAGACTTCTGCTTCTGAGGCCGTTGTTGCCATTGTGACTACGATTGTTGTGGTGCTCGTTGCTGCTGCTGCTGTTGCTGAGGTTGCATGTAATTGGAAAGTTTGATTAGCATCAACTGCATTAGCATGTGCCTTACCTTTCCCTCGTGGGACGAAATTCTGTTGCGGAGCATTCATCGCATGTTGGCCCCTTTCCGTCTTCTTCCTTCTGAGGAATCGCTCGGCTTGCTCTCCTCGGACCTTCAAATCCTTCCATGTTTTGGACGGTGCTGTCCCCATTGCTTCTCGTCCCAGCTGTTTATGCTTCCTGGCTTGAGGCGGAGATACCAATCGAAGGCGGCTCCACGAAGAGTGCCAACGAAGGACCGTACCATCAGAGGCTCATTACCAGAGATAACCCCTAGGTGTGATTTGAAGTAAATCAAATGCTGAGTGGGTGAACCCATCCCATTAAACGGCGTGAAGTTGATTAGATTGAACTTCGCCGGATACGGGATTGACTCCCAATCTCTTGGGTATGGACAAGGAATGCCCATCTTCTTCATCTATTGAGCGGAAATCAACGTATTGATTTTGCTTTCGAGGTTTTTAATCTTCAAACTTTCACCTGTGTTTTTGCTAGCATTCTCGTTACCACCCCCTGCATTGACGGGAGGATTATTGGTATTATGAGCTTCATTCGCATTTGTGTCCTCATCTTCCTGATTAACCTGGTGGCGACGACTTGGTTCGCCTTGCTGGTTCATCAGTGCTTGGATTTGTTGGTCATGCATTTCTCTCATACTCTGCATGGCCATCTGCATTTCGAACCTGAAGCTCTCTTGTTGTTTAGCCATGGCTTCCTCAAGCATCTTGGCCACTTGTTCTGCACTTATCATAAGTGCCTCGCGGGGTTGTCCCTCGCTGGACACCGTATTATCTGATGCGACTGCCGAGCCGGCATCCGATTCTTCATCTTCTGAAGGTAATCTTGTCCGAACCCTACCATAAGTTCCTCACTTGATGGCTCCAGACTGCAGACGTGTTATACGCCAGGATGCTTCCGGAATCGACTTGGGATTATCCTGTCTCGATGTCCCTTTGCTGGTCATATTTGTGGTGACCCTCGGAAATTCTCCGTCTTCAACCAACGCTCTCCTTCGTCGGAAACGCCTAGGCCTTGGTTTTGGCGCTTTGGTACTGAGTCTCTCGAAAACCGAAATTCTTTCGGGGACTGTATTGGTGCAGTTGCACTCCGACAATACTGCCCGAATGAGTTTGGAACAGGGACATTGAGTTTCTAGTTCTCGAGGACCCCTTTTCCTGGTTTTACTCGTACCCCCAACACGATAGTACAACTCGTCTGTTTGAAGGTCGGAGTAACCTATCGTGTGTTGGCACGACTTCTCAGGTATAAAGCTATCGTCATCAGAAGATAACGTTTCCTTCTGAGGGCGAACTGCCTTCTTTGGGCTTTCAAAAGTCCCACTGTGGTCGCCAGATTGTTCGCGGTGAAAGTTACTTTCATTGATGTCATTGCTTTCTCAAGTAATAGTTTTTCGATTACAAAAGATCCGGTCTTTTTATAAGATCCGGTTACAACAAAATCAAAGAAAAAAGAAAAATTATAACTCTCATTCTTTCGAACAAATCGCAAGATCCTGTTTTGCGGTCTCTTGCTTGTGTGGGTTCTTCGCCTGCGCCGGGGTTAATCCGTGGACCACCGCGCAATCTTGATCCGATCGGACCTACACGGTATGATGGGTGTTATTTCACGAAGGAAATAAAAGCCGGGGGTACTATTTCACCTAGGAAATAATAGCCTTTAGTAATCGAAATCGACCAAGCAAAATCGATACTCTTCTCGGGATCAAAAACCAAGTTTTGATCCGGAGGATTACCGTGTGAATCTCAGATCTGATCTCTCTCTCTCTCTCGAACTCCTGCCTTGCTTGACGTGGATGATCGCCGAGAACCAGATCTGAAAATGTCCAAGTCTTCAAAGCTTCAAAACTCCAAAGTTGAGCTATCAATCCAGCAGAGTTTCGGCTCCAAAAGTTCCAACCTCCTAAACAATGAGCCAACACCCCCTATTTATAGGCATTGAAAGCAGATCTGGGCCCAGATCTGGGCCCAGATCTGCCCGTGGCTCGGCTTTGGCTTTGGCCGAGCCTCCTTTGGTGGCTCGGCCACCGAGCCACCTAGGTGGCTCGGTGAGCCACCTGAATGACTCAGTACTGGCCGAGCTCTCCCGGGTGTTCGCCGTGTCGCTTGTTGTCCGGTTTTGCGGTTTATCGGTTTATCCGAGCTTCATCGTTGATCTGAACTCTGATTTGGCAGTCCGGATCCTGATTTGGCAGTAAATCCGCTTCGGTGTTTAAACTCGTCGCCTCGTTAATCTGCTTCGTCGCATCTCATTTAGCTTCGATGTTGTGGTCTAACGATCATGCTTGGATATATCGCCCGATGGTTCGTTGGTTTGTTGAATCACCGTGCCGAGCTGTGTTAAGGGACCTATAAGCAGTTTTATACGCCTACAGATATTTCGGCGATGTAATTTCTTTTGACACCACTTACTTGACGAACAGATATAGTATGCCTTTTGCTCCTTTTGTGGGAGTAAACCATCATAATCAGTCTATTTTATTGGGTTGTGCATTGCTTTCTAGAGAAAATACAAAGACATTTATTTGGTTGTTTCAAACATGGTTATCATGTATGTCAGGAATTCCTCCCAAGGCCATAATTACCGACCAATGCAAAGCAATGAAAGGAGAAATTGCCGAGGTATTTCCAGAGGCTCATCATAGACTATGCCTATGACATATCATGCAAAAGCTTCCTGTAAAGCTAAGTGGATATAAAGAATACAAAGAAATTAAAAGGAGTTTGAAGAACAAAGTGTATGATTCCTTACGGGTCGAACAATTTGAAAAAGATTGGGAAAAAAATGATTGAACAATATGGACTTGAGGATAATGAGTGGCTTTGTGCATTATATGAAGATCGACATCATTGGGCTCCTGTTTTGGTAAAGGATATCTTTTGGGCCGGCATGTCAACTACTCAAAGAAGTGAGAGTATGAATGCTTTCTTTGATGGATATGTGCACCCAAAAACTTCACTCAAACAATTTATTTCAAAGTATGATGTTGCTTTACAAAGTAAGTTCGAGAAAGAAGCAAAAGCAGATTTTGAGTCATTCCATAAATTTCCAAAATTAATTTCAGAACATCCTATAGAGGAGCAGCTATCCAAAATTTATACTATTGGTATTTTCAAAAAGTTTCAAGAAGAGCTAAAGGCTTTGGTATCTTGTACTCTTTCTTTTGTTCATATTGATGGAGATATATCCAAATTTCAAATTAAGGAGCGTGTAAAACAGAAAGATGGTACAATGACGAATAAGATATTTGAAGTTCATTATAAGGGTGGTGAAGTAGACGTTTGGTGCATTTGCTGATTGTTTCAATTTAGAGGTATTATGTGCCGTCATGCTCTAACTGTTTTAAATTATAAAGATGTAAATGAGATTCCTAGTAGATACATTCTCAACAGTTGGAGAAAAGATTTCAAGCACTTGTATTCTTTGGTCCGTTCTATTTCTAATGTGATGCCTACAGGACCAGCTCAACGTTATAATTCTATTCAAAAGAGTTGCAGTATATTTGCGGAGATTGGAGCTTTATCTGAGGAAAAATTTCATCATGTAATGAAAATTTTAAATGAAGCAAGAAATCAAGCAATGGATGATTCAACATTGTCCCAATCTACGAAAACGAAGGAAATAGAAATTGGCGATCCAGTTCATGTAAAAAGTAAAGGCCGTCCGGTAGAAAAAAGGAAGATATCTACAATTGATCAAAAAGTAAAGAAGAAAAAGGTAAATAAACTATCATGTTCAGTTCTTTAGTAATTTTATTAATATTTTAGTTTGCTCTATACTAATTGTGTGCTCGATAGGTTTCTAAACAAACACGGCTTGAAACGAAAAATCCTGATGCACTTGTTGTAAGTTTGACTATGTATCCCATGACGTGTATTTTGTTGAACCTTCAATGGTTAATACTTGATTTAGTATGATACAAAATGAAATAAAAAAAATTATTTTCTTTTTTGTAGGAACAACTTTCATCAAATGTGAAGCTAAATGAAGACAACCAACAAATATGCAATTCGAATTGGGTGTATATTATTTATCTACTTAACACTACATATTATCTTATATATTCTAATCTGTACTCATTAATTTCTAGGGATCATTTTATCAACCTATATTCAGTAGTCATCATGAAATACCAAGGCCTTATACTACAGTTTTGCAGGTGTGTAACTAGTACCTATTTTATCTTATTTCTTTACAATTTTGTTGTATCATCATAAAGCTGAAATTCTTCTCTTGCACTGTAGGAACATGTTTATCCAACTCAGTATATTTTTCATGTCAATAGCCAAGAACAAGCTATTCTACCAAACTCATACGCTTCTCTTCAGGTAAGAATGTACATGATTTAAATCTATAACATATAATAAATTTTACTGATGCTAACCATTATTATTTTTATTGGTGAAGGCTACAAACGAGGATCCCAAACTTTAAATGAAGTGTCGTCGGTGGAATCGTGATTAAGTGGAGCATGTGCAGATTTATTATATGTCGTGATTAAGTGTCGTCATGTTCAGATTTATTATACAATCGTGATTAAGTGTCGTCATGTGCAGATCACTTGGCAAAAGTATCATTTATACCCATTTGTACTCTTTTCTCAGTTGTTATCTCGCAATAGGTATCAAATGGATCATGTTCAAATTTGCCAGGTATTGAATTTGATGGTATGAAAATTATTCTTCTTAACAAAAAATGTTTGCAACTTGGACCTTTATTGTAGCAATTGAGTATTGTATATCAAAGCTGTTAAAGAGAAGATTTGAGCTTTCTAGCTTTCTTGGTAATGTACAGGAGTGTGATTTTTTTTCAAAACAGAGCTGGTGCAGTCATTTTTTAGTGATTTTAGGAATTTCTGATTGTAACCAGTAGATGTCAGCTATTAATTTCATGGTACGAGAAATTATTGTCATTGAGATAGGTAGCAGGAAACAAAAAGAAGTTTGCAGTTTGGGTTTTAGACAGCAATTCAATAATGCTTATGAGTGGGAATTTACATGTTCTGTTGTGAGAAAGAAAACCAATATTATCTCACAATTCAATAATGCTTATGAGTGGGAATTTACATGTTCTGTTGTGAGAAAGAAAACCAATATTATCTCACAATAGGCTGCTCTAAAAAGTCCAGAGCATGTTGATGCACCAGCAGGCAAATCAATGTTTAGTGATTATAGTGTGGCTCTGCATGATCCAAATTCTGTTGAAATTGCAAACTTCAGGCTGAACAAACCTGCTAAAAATGCTCCGTCCACAGGATTTTCATGTCCAGTACTTAGTCCACGAAGAAGTAATATAGAGCACGACCATACTCACAATTTCCCTCAACAGTGAGCGATCAGTTCCATTAACCAGCTATTAAGAAATCTCAACAGAAGCGTATATGCAAGCTATTTAGGTCGGCATATTTTCGCTACAAATGCACCAGACAGAACATTTTCACAAAAATAAGACATTCTTTTACAAGAATATAAGCACAAGAATATAAGCCAAGCAATGTCTCACAAATTCCTCCAACTTTAACAAGACAACAACAACAACCAAGTTTCAGCACTAAATTCATATTCATATCATGTAACATAGACGAAATTTTACAATTTTTGTACCATAACAGCAAAAAAAATAAAAATAAAAAAGACCAGAAATATGGAAGTTTGAGTCCCAAGAGGAGGACCCATAATAGGTCTAAACAAGCATGTCCGGAGAGGGGGAGGAAGTCGGTGATAGCATAAACTTGGAGTACAAAATGTTTTCGGTGACGACGAGAACATGACGTCGATAACAAACTTCAGCAACGATGGGATCTTTTTAATTTCTCTCAAAATGGAAGGATCAGTATAAGTCCCCTCATTCTTCCTCTGCCCAATCTCCCTCCAAATCATTAGGGACCCGTCACCCTCTCCACCAGCATCACCTACGACCGCCAGAACTTCGAGCACTGAGTCTTCACCCTGAAGCACGACACATGCCCCCTCACCAGGCAGCCCCTCGACCCCGACCTCATCACCCCCAATGTCACCCTCCGCCGCCTCATTTAGGCCTCAACTCCTCCTCCTCTGAGGGCATCGAGCGGGGCACCGCGTCGAGCCCGACGACATGAGAATGATCTCTTTCTCATGTCCACCGTCGCCGACCTCATCACCCCCGCCCCCTCACCCAGGCCCACCGTCGCCGACCTCATCGAGGGTTTGCAAGAGGAGCTTTGGGTTTGGGGTAAACCTAATTTTGCTGTGTTATTTGACAGGAGAGATGATTCACAGAATTACCAAAGTACCCTTTCATATATCCAACTCACTATTTTACAATTAATTAATATTTTCCAGCTGTATTCGTCACATCATCTGTCTCATGAATCTGTCCCATTTTTGAGTTCTGCTAGCAGCAATCTTATATATATAAAGAAAAATGAAGAACATGTTCTAGGAGCTTGATAGGGGGAGATCCTAGAGGAAAGAATGAGAGGACCTTGTCGTCAATTCTAACCTGCTGCACTGACCCCCATATCTGGCTCGAAAGTCACAGAGAGTCAAATATGCAAATTATACATAACAATTGAACACCCTTCTAACTTCATGTAGTTTATACCAAAACACAGACTCCTACGCCTCTGCTACTGATATCAAAACAAACAAGAGAACCCCATTAGATGCTCTCCCCTACGATTTCATCAACTGAACCATCCATAAGCACTAATTGCAATTCCAACCTCATTTGCTGTCCTACTGATATTTGCCGCCTTCTTTCTATTTGAACATCCTGTCCAGAATATCTGAGAAATATGTGATGCAATGGGATTGGGGTTTAATCTTAAATCATCGAAGATCAGATTGTTTCTGGTTCTCCACATGCACCAACAAATAGTTAGGAAGATAACTTTCCACAAGAAGCAAAGCTTATGATCTTGCATTAAAGTGCTATAAAAAACATTGTCTAAAAGCTAGATGGCTTTTTTGTTTTTCTTCCGGATTTACCCTTCATTTTTCAATTTATTTTCAGCCTTAACATCTGAAATTTGTTTTGGGCAAAGGATATTTCAGGGAGTTCAGGTCAAATTTCATCAAATACTGTTCATCCCAAATCTGCCCTCCAAATATTTTCTCTTTATCACTTCTTAGGCTTGAGGGTATTTTTGGAAAGTAAATATTAACCCCTTTTTATGGCCTTCCCCTCTTCCATTGTTGTTCGTTCTAGGGTTTTGTTGTTTGTGTTTGCCATCGACAATCCAAAGAGGAGCTCGAGTGATCGCCGAGAAAGCAGCCAAGAAATCACAAGAAATCACCAAAGAAGCAGCCAAGAAATCGCAAGAGCTCACCAAAGGCGCGGCCAAGTTCTCGCACGGGAGAAAAAGGTAACGACTTTATTGGGAAAATTGGGTATTTTTACTGATTTTTTTGCTCGATCTTGCTATAGAGGCGATCTAAGGTATGATTGCTTCTCATTTTGGGTATTCTGTAGTCCTCAAAAGTCTCAAGTAGCTTCACCTTCCCCCAACCTCCATTTCCTACCCTCCCTTCAGTTTTTTTCAATTTTTAATCCTACTATTTATTTACAACAACTCCATCGCAGATCCATCGATCACCTGAACGAAAAAAGAAGAAAAAAAGGAGGAAAACGAAAAAAAGAGAACATGAAGTACCTCGTCGGAAGTTGAGAAGGGGGTGCAGGGCTCCGATGGCCGCCCCTCCGTGGGACCCACTTACAGGAGCATCTTTGCCAAGGACGGCTACCCTCCGCCCATCCCCGGCCTCGAGAGCTGCTGGGATATCTTTCGGTAAATTTAATTTTGTTGTTTTTTTTAATTTATTCTATTCTTTTCTTATTTTTGGGAAATCTTGATTATATTCTCATCAATGCTACTTTTCTATTTACTAGATTGAGTGTTGAGAAGTATGCTGATTCCTGAGAATCGAATGCTCGGCCGCCGCGAGATCTTTGAGGGCAAGGTACTGGTTTTGAGCTTTTCCCCTCTTTATGGGTTTAGTTGCTGATTAATATTTTTGTTGTTTCTATTTTAGGCGGGTAAATATGCGTGGATGACTTACAAACAAGTGTATGACATCGTGATGAAGCTTGCTGCTTCGATCCGTAGATGCGGCGTTGAAAATGTCAGTTCTTTTATGTTCACTTTTAGTTTTGTGTATAATATTAAACAAGGGCAGGGTTTTGGATGGATAAATTGTATCGATATTTTTGATGATAATTAGAAATTAAGCCGAAGTAGAATGTTTTTCATCTTTTTAAAAAAAATAATATTTAAGAGACTTATTCTCTGATTGCCCTACAAAAATAAAGATAACTTCATTTCTCTATTCGTTGAAAAGGTAAACCGTTAATTTTTATGAGTTTGACTGTTTAATAAAATGGCAATAAAAATAAAAAAGTTATCCAAGTAAAATTGAGTGTTTATTGGAGACCGTTATCATCACTATATTGCAACATGAGTGAGGTGCTCGGTATTTGTCTTGAGTTCCAAATATTTCTCACTGTTTTCTTGCAAGAAAATCTCCATGCTAAAAAATTTATTAGTTTGGTCAGAAATTTACTCTTTATGAGTTTTGTTCAATATAAATTGATTGGGAAACGACAAATTGAACTAGACCTTCATTAGCTTTACACTGTTCACGTGGTCATTTCCCCTTTTGCCCTTTTCTCTCTTCTAATTGTATTCATATTTAGTAACTTGATGAACACTTTGGACTGAAAATAGGTTCTCTTGTCCTCTTTGGGCTTTGACGAACCCAAAATAACCCCTCCCTCACCCGAGCCCATGCCACTCCCATCCCTCCCATCCCATTGAGACAGAACAGGGGGCCTTCCCAAAATGTCCTTGAATCTAAGAGGTGAGGGAGAGTGTTGAGTGATGTGATTAGAAGCATGATGGTCAAGGAGGTGATGGACTTGGGATTTGTTCGGGAGATAAAAAGGAGGTAAAAAGTTAAGTACTCTCTCCTCAAAATTGATCCCTACGTCTGACAGAAGCCTAAATCCTTCAAAGATCATCATCAAAAGAAGAAGATCTATGGTTGAATATCATCAACCTCACAAGTAAGTATCATTCATTCAAGAAGATGGAACATATTATTATAATATATAGTAAGTATTTATATGCCTCCATATTGTAATATTTACCTTTCATGATGTGAATGTTGTAGAATACTAACTTTTATATTGAACTTGTGATTGCAGGAACTTTATAAGTCACAATATACATGACAACTTATCAAATTTTCTGAGATGCAAGCAACCTACAATGTGCACACATTGTATTGGATGGCTATTACTATGGGTTATTAAGGTATTTAGTTGTCATGCCACAAGTTTACATTTGTTACTTTTTTACTTTTAGGCTATGATGATTGTCAAATTTTCTGAGATTAGTAACATGCAATATCTATTGGTATTACATTGGATGGATAACAATGATGATATTAACCAAGTTTTTAGCCCTAAGCCATAATTTGCATATACAAGTGGCTGGTTTATTTTATATGATGACAACAAATATTTTCAAATGATGTTTGGGTGTCAGTTTAGTGTTTATGGGTGTCTCACCTCGCGCATGAATTATTTGCTACTAAAGATAGAGCTTCTAATAATGTCTCCTTTGCATTTAGAGAAGTTGGAGGCTTTATCATATTGTTGTAGGAGTTGCAGAAGCTCCAAGCTACTTGCATAATTAATAATTGTACAAGACATCTTATTCACAAACAATATAAGTCTTCAAATATTCTTCTCAATGATTGTTTGAAATAACAATTACATTCTGTTGACTAATGATCACTGATAATTCCAATATTTTTTCTGAATAATAGATTAATATAGATTTTTTTTCCTATTTATGTATCAAGTTAGCTGGCTTTGGACTATCTACGTGAGCATCAATGAATTTATTTTCCCAGGCACACTGATATTGTTGGGAGTTTTAGGTATGTGAACATGGTTTGCTAGGATTATTCTTGCAATTGTTTAGTCTAAATTTTAAAGAATCTCATTCTTACATGCATTTTGCACTTGATTACTTTATTTATGGGAAATTAAGCAACAAGACAAATGTATATTTCGTGGAGTTGCTTGACTTATTAACATTCGGGAAACAACTCTACAATAAGAACCCTTGCGCCCAAGAAAGTTTGGTTATGTGGGTTATTAAACCTATTAGTATATTAGGGTAAATATAATCATAAAAGAATGACCTATATGCCCAAACGAAATAATGACAGAAGGAAAATAATTGATGTGATTCGTAATGTTTCCATAAGTTTATTAAATTTCCAGCAACATTTAGCGTACTGATCATACTCTATATGTGTGCATGTATGTTTGCTTAGACCACACCAGTATTAGAGAGGAGATTTAAAAGACTTCTTTATTCAATCAGGATGATAACTACGATGAAATTGATTTCTGTTTTTCAATTATCCAAGGAGCTGGATGTCGAGGCGTCGAAGAAGGCCGACCAGATAAAAATTGAGGCCTGAAGCGTGCGGATCAGATCAAGACGCTCGTCGGTGAGATCGGGATCCCGATCCCGATCTCGCCGATTAAGCGCTTGGCTTTGCAGGAACCGTCGACGGAGGAGGCGACGTCGGATGAGTTGGAGAGGGTCGGGGTTACCAATGAGCTGAGGGAGTTCGTCAAGGGGATCACTATTAGCACATTTCGAGATTTCCCTATGGAAGGTAATTTCTTTTTTCCTTTTTCGCCTTTTTGGTTCATAATTTGCTAACAAATTGTCGAATCTTGCAAAAAATGAGCGTTTAAGCGTTTTTGGTGGATTTTGTTACGTGCTTATTAGATTCTTGAATTCAAGCTTATAATTAGATTAATGCTTGGGTGTTATTACAAAGTGGTGAATTTTGCGAAAAATAATCTATAAATCTCATGTTTCTCTCACTGTTGTTGTTTCCCCCCTTTCTTCGAGGATTTGATTCCTTCTTACTATTTCCTCAATTAAGAAAATTTGGAATCTTGCTGTGGTTCAATTTTGGGTTTCTCAACTCGATTCGCTTCAAGAACTGGTACTTTCCCTCTTTCTCCTATATCAAGAACATGAAAGTTTTGATTGTTCTATTCTAGAATTTTCCTTCAATTCATATTCGTTTAGTTTTATGATACATATAGAGTACAGGGTATTATTGTTGTTTAAACTGTATTAAGATTTCTAACTATTATAATGTGAAATTATTGAGCATCCTATGTTTAGTTCATTGTCATGTGAGATTTCTATTGTGGTTGTTGCAGGTGATTGCCTCCAATCTAAATAGACACACTCGGTGTTTCTCTCAGTTCATGGAGTCCTTTATGCAGTTTCCTTCTATTTTTATTTTTCTTGAAAAATCTTTAAAATTTTCATTTAGTTAAGTACCTAATTTGCATTAATTTTAATGCTTCCGCATATTATTATGGTTTAAGCTCTTTAAGATGGGTGAAAAATGAGTAGTTTAACATTTTCTGTTGAAGATGATGTTTCATATGCTAAATTTATATTTGTTGAGCTTAATGTTATAAGCATGTTTAACTTCATGGATGAATATATTTTGAGGAAAAAGGACCGAATTGATGCTCTTAGTTTTGTTTTAGCTAAACCGATGGGGAATACACCATGTATGCTTGAAAGAAGCATTATATCGAGGTGATTTGTCTTGATTTAATTAGCCTCATCTATATGGATTCGAAAAATTACTTTATTATAATTGCATCATTTATTATAATTGCACCTTGTCCTCAATGCTACTTTATTATAATTGCAACATGTCCTCAATGTAACATATGAATTGATGTCATTCTGATCTTTTTCATGATCGAGAGATCAATTTTTAGGTTGAGAGATTTGCGACAGACTTCGTAGTTGTAAGGTTTCAGACTTGGGATAAAGTTGAAATGCAGTTACTAGATTGAACCCTACAAAACAGGGGTTAGATATTTTTCTCTCTGCCTACCCAAAAGGTATTTGTTTATCTCATAATGTGATGTTTCAAACTTAAGAAGCTCACAACATGTTAATATCACATGTTTTCAAATGGTTGATCCTCAAATGGCCAAACAATACTAACATTTGATGCACAAGGACAAAAACAAGTACAAATATGAGGATGAAATGTATGCTTAAATGTAAATTATTGAACATTAATTTGTAAGTTAACATGTTTCTCAAATGATAATAGGTAGAATAGGACGAAATGCTCAATATCACATATTCATTTCCACACATGCATGTGCACAGAGGGAGGGAGGGATATTGCTTTCATTTACTTCCATTAATTATTCACATAGCCTAGAATAATGAATTGTTGACATATTTTAAATTCTTTCTATTGGATAAAAATTTTCTATGGAAAAAATGGTACAAAGGTGTAATATGACCTGATAAATATATCAAATGGATGATGCATTATAGTATTATAGTCTTGACTAATGAGACAATTTGGTGAAAGTAAATAAAACTCCTCTGTTCCTGTAAGAAAGTTAGCATTTAATTCACTAAAGTTATGAAACTTAAAAAAAACTCTCACCTACACTTCTCAGTTGTTATTGGTTTGTTCTTTGTAATAAACCATCAGCATATTCACTATAATTACTTGTATATATTTAATAAGAAGGTGAATAGTGTAGCGTATGCTTGTGTAAATTATTTTCTCTTTTACTCTTTGTTCTATGGTTCTCATAGCATATTACAACTTATCTTTGTTGATTACACCATCTTGCTGAGCATTGTCCTTTTTGTTTCTTTCTAGTGGTTCGTGCTACATAAATATAACTGTTTCGGAATTAATTATGTGGACACAAAAAGCTGGTGATAATTCATAATTCCTATTTCTACATATCAATTTTTTCTTTTATTGTCCAAGTTTGTAGTTATTGATTAAGAAAAGATGTCAATCTTGCAATGATTATTATTTCAAATGTGATGCCAATGTATGTTCTGAGTGGTCGTTTGCTCAAGCCAACTACCAGAAGCCACACTATGTTGCTACCTTTGGAGATCAATATACTATCATCATTACTGGTTAGGATGGCAGGTATTACTCCTCACTCAAATTTCATTTATGCTAGAAATTATGGTTTTTTTTGCTACGCAAATGTTTCTAGTGGTATTTTACTACTAAAAATAATATCAACAAGTAATAGATTTATAGGCACATCTAGATTTGTACCAATAATCCACGTCAGGTTTATTTTCTTCTTAATCACTTACAGTAAGTGCATAAATGCTATATCTAGATATATGCAACAATATAATAGAAAATAATGATAATAAAAACTATGACTAACATGATGACTTCAAATTTTGAAGGTATCAGATTGGAAAATTAATTAGCAATATGAGAATGTTACATGCATGATAACTTTGTAAATGACTTTAGTGTTTTAGACAGCAGACTAGACAACAATTAGCAACAATATCAGGGGAATAAACCTACAATCTAAATGTTATACATATTATACATCAGAAAATTTGACTGAAACTGCAAATTCCAGAATAAACCTACAATGATACTATACACACTACATATGAAAAAATTTGATTAGAACCTGCATATATGCTGATGATTTGAGCTAAAATGCAATAGGAAGACCAGTAAGAATAACGTCTGAGATGAGATTTACACCTAAGCGCTTAGTAGAAACCTGTGGAGGATTACAACTTACAAGTATGATTTAATGTTTTGGGCAATACTTTTAGTATATTATGTATGGAAAGGTAGGCAATATATGATAGATGTGTACACCCAAAAAGTTATTTTGCTTGAACTATTATTGAGCATAAAACCGATGATGAAAACCTTGAAGTCCAAGAAAGTTTAGTTTGTGGGTAACAAATATGTTAGTACATTATGTAAAAAAAGTCATAAAAGGATCATTCATATACCCAAATAAAATAAGTTGGGATTAAAGATAAATTAATTGATATACCCAAATAAAATAAGTTGGGATTAATGATAAATTAATTGATGTGTAATTCTTTAGTGTTTTGCTATATTTATCAAATTTCTTGACAACATTTAGTTTTCTAGCCATAGTTTGTATATCCTTTGTAACTTAGGCCACGCCAAGTTCTAGAAAGAGGAGGTTTAAAAGACTTAACAGGAATCGATTCCAAATGGTCTTGGGATTGTCTCTTGCATCTCAAGAAAATTCAGATTTAAACCTCAAACGAGCCAAGTTCGAAGAAGTATTGACTAAACAACAAGATTCATGTATTTATATCATTTTTATCTACTATATTGTCTATTTTATGAATCAGGTACTTAAAAAATTTTCAAGGGGAAAAAGAGATGGGACTCAATGAGGAATTGGATTGCCTGGATGAAGGGCCTAGAAGCATAGCATCATTTTTAGGCCTAGCACCGTGTGTGAATTAGAGGATCGTTATGCATCCGCAATTTTCTTTGAACAAAACTTTCATTATTTGTACATATATTTGTTGATAACTAACTATTATGATTATTGAGGTGAAGTCCTTTCAATGAAATTCTTTCACAATTTCTTAAAAACAATTATAAGATTTTCTTTTCCCCCGCGTCTCGCGGGGGGTATTTGCTAGTTAGAGTATAAAATCTCATCAAACTTGCACACTAGAGAACAGTAGAAAAAAAGGGGAGAAAAAAAAACTGTACTTCCTTAGCATAGGGACAATTGAAGGAGATATGATTGTCTGTTTCTAACTCAAGCTAACAGAAAGGACAACTTGAATCTCCTTCCAAACCCTTATTCAGTAATTTATCACTAGTCTGAAGCTTTCTCTTAGAATGTAACCAGAGGAAGATCTTGAACTTAGTAGAGTTTAGAGAATTTTAAACAAAGTGGAAAAAGCTGGATTTAATCCCTTCGCAATTTAGGAGAGAATATGAAATATTTAACTGAGAATTCTCTAGAGATAGAGAGAGGCCATAGCATAGTGTCCTTTGACTGATTGACATAGTAGTTGGAGGAAGAAAGAAGGTCTTTAGGTATAGATATTTCTCTTTTTTGCTTCTTTGGAGATACCATGACGGAGAGTGTGGTGCCATGCATGTCCAATTATTGCCAAAGAAGAATCCTTAGGAACAGTCAGAGACATGTTTGGTGAAGACCAGATTGTGTGCTAAGGGAAATAAGCTACACAAAGAGCTAGCCCCCAATCATTCGTCTTCCGAGAAGCAATTTTAGCTCCCTTGCTAATGTTCCACTTTACTGAAAAATTTAAAGCATGGTGGATAGAAGAAGTTTCTCAAAAAAATCTAGTGACAGAGACTATTGGGTGTGTGCTAGCTACTAGAAATGGTAGATTCTCACTAGTAAAAAGATGGTCAGCCCCAACAGGTGTTAGTAACCGTTGGTACAAGTTATTACAACCCCAACGGTTCCCACCGTTGGGGCACACCTGTTTTCAGCGACAAGAATTAGGGAGAATTTCCCCCAATTTTTTTAACATAAAATAGAAAAAAACCCCGCAACGCCTCAAAAATACCCACTTTCTCTCATGATTCCATTCTCTCCCTCGTTACAAAGCCCCCAAATTAGAAGTCAGCCTCCTCTCTACCCTAAATCGGAGCTCGCCGCCGCCTCTCGGAGATGGCCGCCACCTCTCGGAGATCGTCAACGCCTCTGGGAGATTGTCACCGCCTCTATGCGTCCTCTGTTGGGCTCCTTTTGTCGAGCACCTAGCGACCTAGCCTACTCCCCCCGCCACCCAGCCTAGTACCCTCTGTCGCTTCTCGATCCCGATCGAAAACCTAACCCTAGTCCCCCCGCCACCCAGCGATTCGAAAGGCACCACCGGCGACTCCGTCGAGCACCTGCAATGGTTGGCACAGTATCTAACCGTCATCGAGCACCTTTAGTTGCTGCCTCCACTCCCTTAACCGCTTGTAGGTCCTCTTCCTCAAAACCTAAACCCTAATTTGAAAATTATTTGAAATGTTTGTGTATTTGTTAAAAAAAAATTGGGCATTTTCTATTTAGGGTTATCTACACCCTCGATAAGTCTCTGCTACTCGAGAAGCCTCCAACGAGACTATCGACTGTTACTTGCCACCTCCAGCGAGGCTGCCTTCTTCTATCTCTAGCTTGTAAGTTCTTTGAGATTTTGCTTGGGGAAATCATCGTTTGAGAACTGTGCTTATATGAATAAAATTCTTTTGATTTATGGTATTTCTTTTATATTGTTCCTTTCATATTTAGATATTATCATCTTAAAATTTTCTATAAGTACTCTATATGAAGAAGAATCTCTATATGAAGAAGCCAAAGAGGGAGGACGGTGATGAGAATCACAAGAAGGTTCAGTTCCTTTGTTTTCTTTCATTTATGTTAATTTGGATGTTTTTGTACTATGAATTTTGATTTTTTCCCCTTTGTGTTAATTTAGTGTTTGAATGTAGGACTATATTAGGTGGCAGAAGGATAAAAAGACTACTGTACTTACACAAATTTAAGCTGAGTTGTAATTATAATAAACAAAAGGTAATCACATCATTTACTAATTCTAGGTTTACAGACATGTTGTTGTTTACACCATACTACGTGCCTTGGATATGCATGCTTATGTTTTGTTTTTGCGAACTTACAAACATATGTACGGAGAGAAATGGAGTTTGCATGGAGGAGTCGAGAGTGTGCTTCTATCAGGAAGTACACGTGTTTGTACAAAGAAAGGAACATAATTCCAATTTGTAAGAGAGACTGAGACCATTGCAGGAGCCACTGCATTGGATTTGTTATCAATTGCCACTAAAACTGATGATGACAGATTATATAGTTAGGTTTAAGTTATGTATAATGTAAGTAAGGGTTAAGTTATGTCTAATACAACTTATGATGGAAACTGATGATGTCAACTTTATAGTTAGGCTTTTCTTTTTTCTTCTTTTTGTTTATTTTGTTACTTGGTGCTATTAAATTCATATTAGTTATGAACCATTTATCTAACTTTCTTTTGTGGTAATTTTGTTAAACCTGATTTGGTTATTCTAGAAATTTTCTATGTGCGGGTTACACGTTTGAGATTTCACAGTTGCAATCTTGTTTCGACATCAACTTCTTATGTTTGGTAAGCAGTATGTGAGAATTTGAATTGGCATGACATGTAAAAAGGAGCAAAATATTCGTCCTCCTAAAATATTATGTGGTGTTGATAATATGATGTAGTTTCTTACAGTAACATTTTTATTTCCCACAGATAGTGATGCGGGCTAACCACATAGCTTAGACAAGGATGCAACCTCCTTGTCAGCAGCTCTCCAACAAATGGGTACCTTCATTCAAGGGATTAAACAAAGCATCATTCATGATATTGCAACATTGGCCTTATTTTAAGGCGGAGAGAACTCAGCAATTCAGAATGATGATAAGATGAATTGGTGTGTTTTCTCATCCTTTTACTAAACTTAAGTTATCAGGTTGCTGGCTTCAGATAGTAATGCTCCCAACCAAAAAAGGAACATGCGTGCTCATCACAAACACCCCTCAAAAGAGAATAATTGGCAAGCAAAATATATAGTGAGTTTTCTTTATCTAATAGTGTCCTGGGAAATAAACGATGGGGTCAGATTAGAAAATTTTGAAGTGATAGTGCCCCAGACAATGTTCTATTTGCCTCTTTTGGTCATATAAAATTACAAGTTGAGAATAAATAGTTGTGTGTAATGGATACACGTTTGCTATTTGATGCATTCAGTGCATTTACCATGTCATTGTCATGCATCCATTTCATAATCTCCCGACTGCCAAAAAATTTTCATAACCTGGATTTTTGTGGTATAACTTACACTTGGGGCATTACAACCATCTCCTAAGTCATCTATATCATTCTTTCACCTTTGCTATAACCTAGTCTTGGATCAATGATTTTAGATTGCTCCCACTTGCTTATCTAAGTTGTGACAAGATTCATCCCTCTCGCTTGCGAATATGGTTTTCCTGTAGGAAACTCTTATTTTGGCTTAAACGTGATACAAAAAGACAACTACCATTTCATGCAGGTTATGTACACGTTGCAGTGTCTGTGAGATTTTGGCATCTGTTTCAGATATTTGTCATATGATGGCAGTCAGTGGTGCTCTCAAGAACAAAAGATACGTGCATTTTGTGAGAATTTAAAAAAATATTATTGTGGTCAGCTGATGTTGCTGTTAGTGCTGGCAAAATCTTCTGGGTACAACTAAGGTTGATGATGAAAGTAAACAGACTGAGGTAAGGTTCATATCACTAAAATAAACGGCTCTTCGTGCTTTGGTTTCTGTCACTCTTTAACTTAACAGAGTTTCAGGTACAAAAGCTTGAAAATGGTAACATCTCCAGGATTCTGGATGTATTGTAGATACATTGCCCTTTAGAAGGTAAATTTGCAGGTTTAACAACTATTTGGTTCTCTCCAGATCTCTTGGATCTTAAGATTAATCTTCTCTTTGATCTCAATGGCGAGGGCTAGCTCCAGTCTCGCTTACCCTGAGAGATTATACACCCCCACGGCCTACGCTGGATTCGGTGATGGATCCAACAACAACGGAACGACCTCCAAGTTCCAGACGATGTCGTACTCCTGTGCTATGGATTGTATCAGCAAGTAAGTGATCTTGACCGATTTGTTGATTTTTTTTGTTGGATCTAGGTTTTGGATCCAAGGTTTGCTAAGGTTTTCTTTTGTTTGACCTATGAATTGGAGTGGAATGCATGTTTGATTTGTGTAATTGGGTTGAATTTGTGGTGGTGTTGATGGATTTTCTTTGTAGGCGACCGTGGGGCCTTGCAATACAGCGAAACCTTGGGCTTATTATCCAATGGAGCACGGCAAGTGGACTAGGTTGGTGATTTTCTTATGTTTAATGATAATATATTTGACAAATTATCTATTTTTTGTGATAATGTTTGAAAAAAAAATTATTTAAAAAATTTGAGATTTTACATGAAATGAGAATGTAGTTCATGTATCGCAACTAGCCTGCATCTTTTTGGAAACTTTGGGGGTTGCTTCTTATGAGATCAAATTAAATGTCCAAGATTGTAGGTTTAAACATTTGCCAGTTTAAATTATAGGACTTTTATTCGATTAGCTCTTTCTGCTGTTGTTTAATTGTCTAAGGACTTGGATTCTTTTGCCAGAAAGTGATTGGGTTCTTTTGCCATCTCTCTGTTGTTGGAAAACATGATTACCTTCTAAAGAATGCATTGTGTTTTTGTCTCTATTAAGAGTGTGATTACACTTGAACATCATTGATTTTTTTAAATTAGGTACTTGCCCCAATGGTTGTATTCGTTGGGGTTAATTAAGACCCCAACGGTTTCATCCGTTGGGGTTAATTAAGGCTCCAACGGTTCCGTTAATTAAGGCCCCAACGGTTCTAACCGTTGTGACTTTTTTTTTAATTTTTTAAAATTAAAAATGAAACAGTTATAACTGTTGGGGCAAGTTTTTCAACCGTTGGGGCAAAGTCAACCCCAACGCGCTTTGCCACAACAGGTGTTTTAGCAGCCCTAACGGTTGTAACCATT